GCGAAGTCTGCCGCCTTACCCGTCCCAGCCCCCAGTCCCGGCACATACCACGATTTCAGTCGCTGCCAAGCGAGCCTGTTCGCCTTTCGCCCTCCGGCACGGGTCGAGCCACACGGCTGTCAGCGAACGCTACACTCCTGCGTGTCTTAGACCGCGGTGCGTCTCGTGCATATGGGATTGGAGTGGTGGGCGGGATTACTTGTAGGAGGTGGGATCGGGTTGGAGGAGTTTCTCGGCGCGGCCAGTGCACTCTCGCGAGCAATGCTCGATTGCAGAGCCGATGTGTCATGCAAAGGAGGAGCGGCGAGCGAGAAAGAAAAGGGATTAGGGCCCAGGTCTGCGTTCCAGCCTTACCTGCTCCTCGCTTTCCGCTTTAGCATGTTCCTCGTCCTCCTCCCCCTACTCCACAGTGCCCAGGCCATTGATGCAAGCCCCTTTAGCGTTTGCCGGCCAAGTTAAATATTGTTGAGGGGGTCTGCGTCCCAGCCTTCCTCCTTCCCGTTTTACGTATTTCATTCCCTCCCTCCCTCTGCCCCTCCACCCGAATGCCCTGGACGGGCGCAGCAGGCCGCTGTCGCAGCTTTCGCGTTTGCCGCCCAGTTGCCCAGCTGAAGTATGGGGGATTGCGTGGGGGTGGGAGGTATATGGAGAGATGGGTTTGGTGTACTGGTACTGTATACTGCAATCCTTAGGTGCCCGTGCGATCTCACTATTTCAGTTTGCATCGCTAGCCGCAGCGCCACCATAACTCGACAGGCTAGTTGCCTCAACGAGCAGGCAATCCAAAAATCCTCCTCCCTCTTCCTCCTCCTCCTCCTCCTCCTCCTCCTCCTCCTGCTCCTCCTGCTCCTCTTCCCCCTCCTCCTCCTCCTCCTCCTCCTCATCCTCCTCCCTCCTCCCTCCTCCCTTCTCCTGCTCCTCCTGAGAGTCGACCAGGCCAGCCCCGGGAGGCCCACGAGAGTCGACCCCTGAGATCCGAAGCTCCAAAAAATCAGAACGGGCGGTTTTTTGGCAGGTTTCGGCCTCCGGGGGCCCTCGCCCGGCCCACGGGGGCGTCAGAAAACGACTCAGGACGAAAAGCGGGCCCCAGGGAAGTGGTCCGGACCTCCTGGGTCCACGCACCAAAAAGATTGGAGCAGCCGGATGTCTGGGACTACGCGTAATCGGGGGCGGCAAAGAGGGGGGTGATGACTAGGGGGGGGTGAATATCATGGCGGGGGCCATGATGTCTCCCCAGATTGCATGGCGCCTCTGCTTATTTCATACGTCCCTGGCCCCCCCCTGGGCCGCGCACGTGCCGCCGGCCATGATTTGCGCCCCCCCCTTTTGGACACACCCCTCTTGGCTGCCCCCGACTTGAGAGCGACCCTTCGCTGGAGGAACCTTTGGTGCGGGCTCAGTGGGGTGCCCCGATCGCCGAACGCGAGGCGATAGTTGCGTCGCTTGTGTTTGCCCCCCCCCCCCCCCCCCCCCCCGCGGCCCCCAAGAGCCGCGCACCAAAGGTCACTCTTGCCCAGGGCCACCCTCACGTGCAGCCGAAAGATCGGGGGTGGACAGAGCCCCACCCTGACACCGACGATTCGTGAATTGTCCGTCTTCGGTTCTCGAGAGGGTGCCACGGCCGTCATTCTCCAGGCTTGCGCCCGCTGGGTTTGGGCCCGAGGTCATTTTCCTTAAACCACTTTTTGCGAAAGGGGTTTCCGTTCATCCCCCGCAAGAGGCCCCCGGAAAAAAAAAGTCCCCCCTGGGGCGGCCCGAAGGCATGGCGCCTCCCAGCGCGCAGGCCTGCCCAGCGCGGTGCCCGCGGGCAGCCGACGAGCGTTCCCGCCCAGCACCCAGACGCCGAAGTCCGCCAGGCGATCGTTTGTTCTCAACCATCCTGTGGTGTTGGGTCCTCGTTTTGAAGAGACGTCGCCCCGCGTTCGTCCTCCTCCTTCCTCCTCCTCCCCTTCCTCCCCCCTCCTCCCCCTCCCACACCCATTCTGGCACCCCCCTCACACGTTTCGTGGCCCCATAGGGAGCTCCACCGAAGGCCCCAGTGGCTGCGCCCGCATGCGGTTCCACCCCCCATTCTGGCACACCCTTCACACGTTTCGTGGCCCCATAGGGAGCTCCACCGAAGGCCCCAGTGGCTGCGCCCGCATGCGGTTCCACCCCCCATTCTGGCACACCCCTCACACGTTTCGTGGCCCCATAGGGAGCTCCACCGAAGGCCCCAGTGGCTGCGCCCGCATGCGGTTCCACCCCCCATTCTGGCACACCCCTCACACGTTTCGTGGCCCCATAGGGAGCTCCACCGAAGGCCCCAGTGGCTGCGCCCGCATGCGGTTCCACCCCCCATTCTGGCACACCCCTCACACGTTTCGTGGCCCCATAGGGAGCTCCACCGAAGGCCCCAGTGGCTGCGCCCGCATGCGGTTCCACCACCCCATTCTGGCACACCCCTCACACGCTTCGTGGCCCCATAGGGAGCTCCACCGAAGGCCCCAGTGGCTGCGCCCGCATGCGGTTCCACCGCCCTCATTCTGGCACACCCCTCACACGCTTCGTGGCCCCATAGGGAGCTCCACCGAAGGGCCCCAGTGGCTGCGCCCGCATGCGGTTCCACCCCCATTCTGGCACACCTCACACGTTTCGTGGCCCCATAGGGAGCTCCACCGAAGGCCCCAGCGGCTGCGCCCGCATGCGGTTCCACCCCCCATTCTGGCACACCCCTCACACGTTTCGTGGCCCCATAGGGAGCTCCACCGAAGGCCCCAGTGGCTGCGCCCGCATGCGGTCCACCCACCCATTCTGGCACACCACTCACACGTTTCGTGGCCCCATAGGGAGCTCCACCGAAGGCCCCAGTGGCTGCGCCCGCATGCGGTTCCACCCCCCATTCTGGCACACCCCTCACACGTTTCGTGGCCCCATAGGGAGCTCCACCGAAGGCCCCAGTGGCTGCGCCCGCATGCGGTTCCACCCCCTATTCTGGCACACCCCTCACACGTTTCGTGGCCCCATAGGGAGCTCCACCGAAGGCCCCAGTGGCTGCGCCCGCATGCGGTTCCACCCCCCATTTCGGCACACCCCTCACACGCTTCGTGGGTGGCTCCATGGGGAGCTCCACCGAACGCCCCAGTGGCTGCGCCCGCATGTGGTTCCCCCCCCATTTCGGCACACCCCTCACACACGCTTCGTGGCCCCATAGAGAGCTCCACCGAAGGCCCCAGTGGCTGCGCCCGCATGCGGTTCCACCCCCCATTCTGGCACACCCCTCGCACGTTTCGTGGCCCCATAGAGAGCTCCACCGAAGGCCCCAGTGGCTGCGCTCGCATGCGGTTCCAACCCGTTTTTTTCGGCACGCCCTTCACACGCCTCGTGGCCCCATAGGGAGCTCCACCGAACGCCGCAGTGGCTGCGCCTCGCATGCGGTTCCACCCCCCATATTCGGCACACACCCCCTCACACGCTTCGTGGCTCCATAGGGAGCTCCACCGAAGGCCCCAGTGGCTGCGCCCGCATGCGGTTCCACCCCCCATTCTGGCACACCCCTCGCACGTTTCGTGGCCCCATAGGGGCTCCACCAAAGGTCCCAGTGGCACCGCTCGCATGCGTCCGCCACCACGCAGCACAGCCCTTGCTGACCGCGTCTCACCCACCCAGTACAGCGCTTCGTGGCCCCATAGGGAGCTCCACCGAAGGTCCCAGTGGCACCGCCCGCATGCGTCCGCCACCACCCAGCACAATTGCGGCATTCACAACTGCATATGGTTGGGTCCTTCGCCAGGGTAATTGTTTATTGCCTTGCTTTGCCGATTGGCGCGGGCCCCCAAACCACCCCTTCCCCCACCCATGGAGTAGACATCTGCTGGTTTGAGGCGCCTGCTTCGAGCGGGTGGAGTCTGCCCCAGAGGCCGCACTGCTGCGAACAGTCGCAGCAAGCAGATGTCTGGAGCCAGACCCCCCCGTCCCCCCCCCTTGCCGCCCAATGTCGAAACGCCGAATGAAAAACGATCACCAACGAGAGGCTCCAACGGGACGCTCTCGAATGCCCTTCTAAGCGCCCCCAGGGGCAGCAAATACAGTCGAGGCTTACTAGTAGGTCGACCCTGCCAAGTCCAGGGTACCCTTGTGCCCCGAGCTTCGCGACCTGTGCCTTCTTACGTTATTGTGGCAGTGCGGCTCTCTGACGGGTTCTGTGTCCTCTCCAAGCAACCCCGACTGCATGTGTTGCCGTGAAGAGTTGTCAAAGAAGGCTCGGCCTCCGTGTGCTTCTTGCCCCCGTCACCACCACTGCACGCCCACGAGGTGTCCAGGATCGCCCGCAGACGGCCCGATACGCTTCCAACAGTGCCCCCCAGAGCCCACGAGGGGCCCAAGACCGCCCAAGAGGCCCGAAGGAGGACGAGCTAGCAGGAGTCCCAAAACCTAACGGAATAATGGTTGTGGCCTGTTGGCGCTCGTTTATAGGCCATCCTGATGGCACTCTTTGGATAAGGTCCTCTCGTGTCTTCAATGCGGGTCGCTTCCCCCAGAGCAGGGACCCGAGACCGCCCAAGAGGCCCGAAGAAGGACGAGCTAGCAGGAGCCTCAAAACCTAACGGAACAATGGTTGTGGCTTGTTGGCGCTCGTTCATAGGCCATCATGGTGGCATTCTTTGGATAATGTCCCCTCGTGTCTTCAATGCGGGTCGCCTCCCCCAGAGCCCACGAGGGTCCCGAGACCGCCCAAGAGGCCCGAAGAAGGACGAGCTAGCAGGAGCCCCAAAACCTAACGGAACAATTGTTGTGGCCCGTTGGCGCTTGTTCACAGGCCATCCTGATGGCACTCTTTGGATAAGGTCCCCTCGTGTCTTCAATGCGGGTCGCCTTGCACACAATTTGTTGTTTGCACCATTGTTTTTTGCTGGATCAGCCCACTCCGCGTGACAGAGCACGCTCCGAGCCGAACTTGGCCGTGATTGCGCTCGCACGCCTGATTAGCCTCGCAGGTGGCTGTGCGACCCCGTGTTGGGATGGGCTCCCTCATGCGGGACGTTTCGCAGCTGATATGTAGCAGGTCGAGCACGGACTGCAGATTTCACCAGCCGTTGGTGGTTTTGACATTCCGTTTAATTACACATTACGTTGGAGCAACATTTTATCAGAGCGGGAGCGAGGGAGAGAGCGAGAGAGAGAGAGAGGGAGCAGGAAATGAGAGAAAGATATCGCATAGCACGGATCGCATATCAGACATAACGAGTATATATGATCCTTATTGCGTATCAAAAAGTGAGACATCTACAAATCTGTTAACTAAGAGAGAGAGAGAGAGAGAGAGAGAGAAAGAGAGAGAGGGAGGGAGAGGGGAACGAGAAAGAGAGAGATATTGCAGAACACGGAAAACAAAAGCCAGGCATAACGAAAAGTGCGTTGCGCATCCGGGAAACACAACATAATGAGACTGATCTAGAGAGATACCAAGAGAGAGAGAGAGAGAATAGAGAGAGAGAGGGAGGGAGGGATGGAGGGAGAGAGAGAGAGACATAACATCGAGAGAGAGATAACAACAAAGAGAGAGAGAGAGAGAAACAACAACAATAAAAAAGAGAGGCAGTGCCTACCGACAGCGCTGCTACAGAGAGACACCACGAGAGAGAGAGAGAGAGAACAACAGAGAGAGAGAGAGATGGAGCGCCCACCGGCAGATCCGCTCGCCGAGAGCCGCCCACCGAGCTCGGCGCGGGCCACCTTCGCCAGTGTTCTCTATGCTTCAGTCGGGCACGTCCCTCCACATCGGAGCATCCAAACATAGGCAAAACATCAGTTTGGGGACGATTGTGTGACTACTTCTGACCATTTTCGAACATTTCTGGGGGCTATTCTGTTCTCCTCCGAGACCCGCCTGTAGAGGGACATGCCCGCCCAGACTCGGTGTCCGCTAGGACCTCTTCAGTGTAAGCTCTGATGGGGGAACCTGTTCGGAACCGACCAGTACAGGCGGCCCGGATCAGTAGGTCGACCCTGCCAGATCAAGGGTACCCGCGTGTACTGTGTCTTGCGACCCATGCCTCCTGCATTTCTGTGGCAACGTGGCCCTCGGAAGGGTCTTGTGTCCTCTCGCGTGTCCTCTCCAATCAAGTCTATTGTATGATCGCATTCTCGGGACGGGCTCCCTCGTGTCTTCAACGCGGGTCGCTCTGCACACGACGCGCTTACTTGCAGCCTCGGGTCGTTCTTGGGGGGCAGGCCGGTCCGCGTGACGGAGCATCGGAGCACGCAATCTATCAGGTGATGCATTGTGATGTTTGGGAACTGAATTACAGGGGGCGCCGAGTTGCTCGGAGGGTGCTCGAGCACCCTCCGAGCTGGACACGGCGGTGCTTGCGCTCGCACGCCTTCCGACCCTCGCGGGAAGCTTTGCGACGCCGCTTTTGGATGGGCTCCCTCATGCGGGACGCGTCGTTGCTAATGTGTAGGAGGCCGATCGAGTTCATTGGCCGTTTATTAGTTAATTTTGGTTCAGTTGTCAAAGGCTAGCATGATGGCGCTCGTGGGATGGGCTCCCTCGTGTCTGATTTCCTCCTGTTTCCGTTTTTTGTTCTGAACCTTTTTTGTCTAAGGATTGGCATGTACAACCCGCACGTTGTAGCCGCGTCTTTTCCGCGTGAGCAGTAGTGTCACACGAAAGCGATCGAATCATTGCAAGCGTGCCCAAGAGTGGCACGTTTGCTCTTATGCGTGCGAGGCAGAGCGCAATCTTTGGACACGCGTGCAAAAACATAAGAGCTATGCCTTTGGGCGTCGTGGTCGGCATCATGTTTCGCGCATGCTGCATATGAGATGTTCAGCAACGTGGCATTCATAAGTTTCCGCTCGCTGTCCATATGGTCTGCTTTGGAGGGTCTGGGTAAGCGCGCGAAGCGCGCGAGGTTCTGGTGTGTACTCATATTCGTCCGCCGTTGAAGGCTCGCACATGTGAATTCACAGATCCCAATCCAGTCGAATGTCAAAGTGATAAGATTCAGACAAGCGCGGGTAAACGGCGGGAGTAACCACGACTCCCGTAAGGTGTCCAAATCCCTCGTCGTCTCATTCGTGACGCGGGTGAGCTGGGCGTGCCCCTACCTCGAGGCTCGAGCGGCGTTGCCTTTCCCCTCCTCTTCAAGGGGGCGGGCGGCAGCCCCATCTACCTCCGGCGCCTTCCTGCTTGCTGTGCCTGCCCACTTCTCACGACCGACGCGTGCATGTATACGCACACACACTCAGAGGGGGAGACACACTCAGACACAACCAATCGTCGACTCCCAGGGAGACATGGGAAAATATGGGAGGTGGGGGGGGGAAAACGACCAAGAACATATGGGAAACGAAAATGGGAATCCTGTTCCTTGTGTCTATTGATTTGTGTGTCCCAGGGTCCCTACACACACACACACACACGTTCGTGCGCTCGTGGCGCACGACCCTCCTGCGGAGAGGACGAGCTGCGGGCGGCGAAGCGGAGGGCCCTGGAGGAGGCGAAGCGCGCCGCCCTGGCGCGCATCCTCGAGGGCGCGCCCGCCGCGGGCGGCGCGCAGGACGCCCCGGCGGAGGGCGGCGACGCCGCGCTGCCCGCGCCGCCGGCGGGGGCGCCCAGCGCCGAGGAGGGCGAGGGCGAGGACGAGGACCCCGATCCTCGTGGGGAGGAGGAGGAGGAGGAGGAGGAGGAGGAGGAGGTGGGAACTGAAGGGACGGAGGACGAGGTGCCGAGGAGGAGGAGGAGGAGGAGGAGGAGGAGGAGGAGGAGGACGAGGCGCCGAGGAGGAGGAGGAAGACCGCGATCCGAGGTGGGAGCTGATACACCGTAGACGCGCCAACGGTGTGTTGGCTGACGGCGATGCAGGAAAGCCAGTGTCGGGCCGGACGAGAGGGGGGAACTGGGAAAGGGTGTGTGTGTGTGTGTGTGCGCGAGATTTGCTGCATGCAGCTTGTTTCGGCCCCACCGAGGGGCCCAGTCCTCGATACACAGCCGCCTTTGGCACCTGGAGGCGCTCGGAAAATCAGCGACGTGAGCTGATTCTCAAACCCGCCAAACGCCCGGCGCGACAATGGTAGGAGAGCATGGTGCGTGGCCAGGACACAAGTAGGAGCGCGTGGTTCGTGTTCTCCTGCGACTCGCCGTGTCCTTCTCGTTAGATTTAGTCGCACATCTGATATGTAGGAAACGGTGTTTCGTGATTGCCTACATTTTGTTCTGCGTGCGCTCGGTGTCACAAAAACCAGATTCTTGGGCTGACGCCGCACCGCCGACCCCTTGGGGGGCTCCTGGTAGGTCTCTCGGGGGCATCCTGGCAGCACTTTTGATGCCTTTTGGAGGCCGTTTTGGGGCCTCTTTTGGGCCTCTGGTGGGCCTCTTGGAGCCGCTTGGGGGCTTCTTGGGGGCCTCTTGGGGCCTCCTGGAGGCTTCTTGGGGCCGAGGGCTCGAAATTTTCGTTCGGGTCCCCCGCCTGGGCCCCCTCCTGGAGCCGTCTTGGGGGCCTCTTGGGCCGTCTTGGGGCCCTCTTGGGCCGTCTTGGAGCCTTCTTGTGGGCTTCGTGGGCCGTTTTCGGGCAGTCTTGGAGGCCTCTTGGGCCGTCTTGGACGTTGTGAAAGCATCCCACCAGCCCTCTGGGCGTAGGTGGTTTAGGGCGTTTCCTCTTCCACCCCTCCTTCTTCCCCTTCGGGGAGGGGTTTACCCCTCCCCCTGCCCCCTCCCCCTGGACCTGGAAAGGGGGTTCCGCGAGTCGTCGTAGCGTCCGAAACGGCCTCGGCGAGGAACCAACATCATTGGTTTTACCATGGTTTTGGCTCCATTTTGGCCTCCTTGGGGGGGGGGGACGCTAATTGAAGCTCCCCTCTTGTTTGATCGATCTCCTCCAAGATGGCCCCAAGAAGCGCCCCGGAGGCCCCAAGATATCCCAAGATGGCCCCAAGAGGCCCCCAAGAGGCCCCCAGGAGGCCCTAAAAGGATCCCAAGCGGCCCCAAGAGGCCCCCCAGGGGCACCCAAGACGCCGAAGAGCCCCCCACGACCGCCAAGAGACCCCCAAGACGTCCCAAGCCGCCCAAGAGATGCCCCAAGAGGCTCCGAGAAGCATCCAAGAGACCTCTGGCCCTTTTGCTTGCTCTCCTCCTCCTCCTCCTCCTTCCTCCTCCTCCTATCCCTTCTCATCCTCCTCCTCCCCCTCCGCCTCCTCCTCCTCCTCATCCTATTTATCCTCCTTCTCCCTACTCCCTCATCCATCCATCCCATTTTCTCCTTCGCCCCCCCCCCTCTCTCCTTCACACGGTTCGGCCGTCCCCCTCTTTGCTCCCGCACTTCCCTGATCACCTCTCAACTCGCCTGGACATCGTTTCTGGATGGGCTGGTGGGGATACTTTTTGTCGCAGCCGCAAGCGAAGGCGCAGGCGGCGTCAAACGGGACGGGCGGGCTACGCGCGAACCTAATTGCCTAACGCGCTGGCGAACCGGAGGCCTGGCGGTCAGAAGTGAATGGTGCACTTCCCAGGGAATGTCTTACCTATGTGTACTGTTGGACCTGGTCCAATCCTATTCGAGAGTCAGCCTTGCCAAACTCATGGAACAAGCCGATTTGGTCAATTTCCCCCCCTATGTCAGAAGCGAGCAGGAGAAGGCCTCCTCGGAACGAAGGATTGCAACAAAAACCCTGGATTGCAAAAAAACCCTGGATTGCAATCCTCTGTGTTTTTTTTTGCAATCCTGTTTTTTTTTGCAATCCTAGGTTTTTTTTTGCAATCCTTCGAGAGGGCCTCCTCGGAAGGCGGCGGGGCTCCTCGGGAGCCCCCGCGCCCTCCGAGAGGCTCTCCCGGTGCCCTCGGGGAGGGCCCGGAGAGCCTCTCTCTCGCTCCTGCAGGGCGGCGGGCCTCCGAGCCTGCTCGGAGGGCCCGGCGCCGTCTCTCTGCTTCCCCCCCCTGGGCTTCGGGTATAGCCGGGACCCCGGGTAAGGGGGCCCGGTGAGTGGTAGGGCCCTGGGGCCCCTCCTCCTCCTCCTCCTCCTCCTCCTCCTCCTCCTCCTCCTCCTCCTCCTCCTCCTTAACCCCTCTTAAACCCCCCGTCTTAACCCCTGTTAAACCCCTCCTTGACCCTCTTAAACCCCTCAGGACCCCGGGTAAGGGGGCCCGGTGAGTGGTAGGGAGCAGCTAAAGCGTTTAACACGTCTTAGCAGACGTTGCTGAACAGGTTTGCAAAACGATTGCAAGCCGCTGATAACCTTTCGAAGCGTTGCAAACGATATCAATCGTTGCCAAACCGGAGACCCCTCCAAGTGGGGCCCCTCAATTGACCAAATTCACTAAACCAGGTTTGCCGTAACTGGTGCTTTTCGGGCGACGGCAGTTCCGGTTGGCAAACGGGGCGGGGGGGGCGCCCCGGGGTACACATCACGAAACCAGGTTCCACGAAACCCAGTTCTGCCAACGCCCGAGGGCTGGCCGCCGAGACACCTTCTCTGCTGCCTCTGGTCTCCGCTCGCGCATGCTTCCCTGTCTGTCGGTATCGTTTGATCGATCCCCGTCCTCGGAAACCGGAACATATATACATTACCAGTGGCGGGGCGTTTTTCAATCCTTGGATTGCTTGAGGGTCGAGGACGACGCTGGGGTGGTGTGGTGTATATTTTTTCCCCGATGTCCCGGGGAATCAACGAAAAATGTACACATCAGGGTCCCGTGTACACCAGGATCCGCTCTCCAGTGCAAATTCTTATGCAGGGCCAGAACAACTGTCGGTGTATAGAGTTCGATTCTCCCGTCCCCATCCCCTTGGAGACCCCCACCAAATTACCACCCCAGTTGGGGCTGCACCCCTCGAAACCTGAAGGGAACGGCCTGTATTCCCATCTGGGGGGGCAAAGCGGCCAGCGGGGCCCAGGCCACGCCGCTGGGGATGGGGATCGGTTAAACGATACTCAGTTTGTCCTCTCACCGCAGCCGTTGACACGACACCAGTATTTTCTGAACGAGTGCCAGCGGCGCTGACCTGACAGCGGGTGCTCGGACTTCCGCCGCGTTGCCTCGAGGTTTTGTCTACTCGTTTTGGTTGCCACCGCATGGGCGGATCGGTGTTCGGGGACCCCAGCAGGCGGCGGGTATGGATATGCTCGAGGGAGAGGACGGCGCCATAAACGTAAAAGGTTTGGCGTTCCGCGCGGACTTCTTGGATCCGCGCTGTGCCCCCCTGGCGGAGCCTCCGACGCCGCTCTGGGGCGCTCCGCGCGCCAGAGAGCGTGGTCCGGCGCAGATCCGAGAAATCAGCGCGGAGCGCCAAACGTTCCTGTTATGCCGTCTTTTCTGGTTCTAGATGCAGTCGGGCCTTTAGGGGCCAAAGCGTATCCACATCGACCGCCCGCTGGGGCCCCAGTGCGTCGGTTCTTGGGCGGTGGATATGGATAAGCCTCCGCTTCGCACCAGACCTTCATCGTCTGTGTCAGACAGTAACTA